ATAAAAACATAACTCCGACCCATGTCCTAAATTCTAATGTAATTGATGTAATTATATTACACATATTTCCTTTTTATTAGAAATGTTATGTCATTTGGTAAATGCTTAATGGAGAAGTACTTAATGGAGAAAAATTTTCAATAAACATTATTTGATGTGGTGATTGTTGAACGTGCTATTATCACTGTTGCTGCTGCTGATGTTGGCATTACTTTCAGAATACTTGCACGAATACTAGTACTATTCGTAGAATAATGATCAACAGTATCATCCTCAATATGTTATTTAATAACATTTTTGAAGCTGAATAAAAGTTCATGGATAATGTAGGCAACATTTTTAATTTATTCTTGTTGCTCTTGATGTAGAAGCTTTATGTTTTCTGTAGTAGTTCACAGCTGTAATTTGATTTATTCTGGAAGATATCTAACAAGGTTTTTTTTTGTTTATTTCTATTGCTTGAATCTATTAATGATGCAATTCCTTTCATTACTTTACCAACATGTTTACTTTCGTTTATGTATTTATAAACAATTTTGAATGTAAGCGGAAGGTTCTTATTGAGTAAAAATGAAGTAATGTTGACGCTAAATTTATTTAATAATATCAAATTAATCAGTGTTACCTCAACGTTGGAGCTCTACATCCGTAATGTCAATATATTAAATGCCAATCACCAAAATTCTAATTAATTAAAACTGCGAATTATGAAAAATTGTGTAATAAATAAGAAAAATTAGGAATTAAAAATAAACGAAATTACAAATATAAAATTAAAATGTTAAAACGACGAAAGCGAAAATATCGCGAAGGGATAAAGGAAGGTTTAAGGTGTATATATGCAATTAAAATGTGGGGCGATAAAGGATTTATAGCGCGTATTTATAAAAAAAAAAACAATTATTAATACAGTCTGGCATGCTATTTTGTCATCCTGCCAATCTGGCATCATCCAATCTGGCATCCTACAAAGGACTAGCTGCAAATATCGAAAACAATTTGAATGAAAAATTATGGTGTTTCTGGTCGGAATTATATTTAATGTAACAATACCTTTCAATGAAATCAGAACTTGGATATTTATTTCATAGATTTGAACAAAGTTAACTAAAGAAATCTCAATGTTAATAAATGGATTATTAGATGATAACGCTGTATTCAGAAATTAATTATTTTATTTAGTTTTCATTATTCACGATTTTTTTTTATTTTGAAAGTATAAATCGAAAGAAATTTTACAATTTCCGAGTGGCTTCAAAATTTTTTATTTTTGAATAAAAATTATAATGTTGTCAAATGTATAATAAAATCTGGTTCTTTTAAAAGTTGAAATTTACTCGAAAATGCGATAATTCCTGTGTCGCAATCCCTATAAAAAAAAATTGTCCAGAAAATGGTATCGAAAATGTCCGGGTGCATGTGAAAATGTCCGAAAAATGTCAAAATCGTCCGGAAGGTGTACCAAAACATGGCGGATTCCGGACATCGTGTGATGTCTTGATATTGTCCGGAATTTATACTGAAACATGGTGGATTCCGGACATTATCTGGATCTTACGGCAAATTCTGGACAAATTCCAGAATTTTTTTTTTCATAGGGAATTAGTTTAATTAACACTATAGTTAAGTTAATAAAATCTTATTGGCAAAACCGTCATAGTAAAAATCCGTCAAAAGTCAAAGCTATATTTTTGGGTTTCGACATTTGCCATTGGCTTTGCCAGCTACACTATAACATATTTTTAATTTTATTTTTTATTATACTATAACGATAATGAATGCACCTTAAGAGAAATTATGAATTTCCGCAACCGTACTGAAGCGAAATAACGAAAAATATCCTATAAAGAAACTTTCTGAATTAAATAATTTAGCTTCTAATTTGGACTTGATTGAAAATTTACCAAAGTTTAGAATTCCCGAAGGACTTAAAATGTACCAACATTAAGTTTCTTTGAATTAACAAACGTAATTATTCAATGACATTTTATTTAAAAATAAAAATAAATAATATAAATTTGATTTATTGGGAATGTAACTAATTATAATATTGCAAAAGAGGTATTAATGATACAGGTTTGATCTTTATTTATTTTATTTTTTTTTATGTATATTTCTTTTTTTTGGTTTCAGTAATTTTGATTCGTCACTATATAATTTTTAATTCTTTTTTTTTTTTTTTTTGTAAGCAAGATAAGCCGGCTTGTCAAGCTCGCGAGCCAATTCATAATAATTTTAGCAAATAAAAGTTCATGTTTATAGTTTTATAAAAAATTTAATGTCTTAAAGCAGACTAAAAAAAAACCATTTATCTTATTTTATGACCTACTTTACCGAAATTACATTTTGCCGTTCGTAATCACAAAAAGGGTGCGGTTTACTTTCAAATGACTAATATAAAAAGGAAATATGTGTAATATAATTACATCAATTACATTAGAATTTAGGACATGGGTCGGAGTTATGTTTTTAT